GCCGTCACCGTCTCCATCTAGGTTTGGCGGCGCACACATAGGGGGCAGGGGAGGGGGGGAGGCTTCTGAGAAGGAGCGTGCTTCTTAAAGGGCGCCAGCCCTGCGTCTACAGACAAAACCCGCGCCTTCTGAGGAGCAGGGATGCCCCTGCCCCCTCGGAACGCAGCCGACAGGTCGTCGAGCTCGCCGGTTGAGGGGCTCTTGGGGCGTTCGTGGACGCCCTCGTCGCCACGGCTGGAGGGAACCCGGCCCGCATGGGCCCCGTGGAGTCCAGGGGACGGCACGGAGCAGATGTGGGCGCGGCAGTGGGGCGAAGGGGGTGGCCGTCTCTGGCGGCGCGCACAAGGGGGTGGGAGGGAGGGGGAAGGCTTCTTAGAAGAGGCTGCTTCATAGAAGGCGCCGGCCTTGCATCCATAGATAAGGCGCGCGTCTTCTAAGAGGCAGGGTGCTTCTGAGAGGCCCTCCCCCCTCCCCCTCCCCCTCTGCGCGTGGCTGGCGTCTGAGAGGGCAGGGCCGGCGGCGCGCACAGAGGGGGGCAAGGGGAGGCGGGGAGGCCTCTCGGAGGGAAGCTGCTTGTTTAGAGGGCCAGGGGCCGGCAACGAGCAGATGTCGGCGCGGCTGTGGGGCGAGGGGGCGGCCGCCTTACAGGGCAAGGGTGGCGGCGCGCACAAGGGGGCAGGTGGAGGGGGGAAGGCTTCTTGGAAGGAGGCTGCTTCGTGGAGGGACAGACAAGTCCCGCGCCGTCTGAGAAGCAGCCTTCTTCCGAGAAGCCCTCCCCCCTCCCCTCTGACCCGTCTGCGCGCGGCCGCTTCTGAAAGGGCAGGGGGCAGCATCTTCCTGCGAGATCCTCCCGGCCTCTCTGAGATCTGGACGCCCGAAATGGGTACGGAAAACATGGGTACAATGCCCAACAACAAGTGACGTTCTAAACCAACAGCGGCCGCTGTTGGGCAGGCGGCCTCCTGTCTCAAATAGGCAACAGGCCGCGGCGGCGCGGACCGCGAGTAGAGTTCAAAATGCAGAGGAACTGCTGCTTGGCATTGTACCCATTTTTCGGCGGTGGACAAACCCTCCTATAGGAAACCTCACCTTACTGAAAACGGCCTGGGAACGAAACCGACGGACCTGGACCCGCAACAATGACGGCCGCGACGCCCTCTCGCGAACCGAAAACGGCCAATTCGCTTATCGACGTGCCAGGGTAGGTCTATCAACCTCCGAATTTCATTCGTGCCGATGAGAAGCGCTCCTGGGGCCTCTGGTCTTAGAAGGCCGCGCCCCTCTTGCTCGTCCCCGCTCCCTCCACATGGGCGCCCGCCGCTGCGTGTTGTGGCTCGTCCACGGCGCGGCCCCCCCCGGAGCTTTCGACCCGCTCCCTGGGACTGCGAGCCCATCCAGACTTATGTTCTTTATGGGCGTGTCTTCCACCACCACCACCATAAGTTGGAGGGGGGGTCCTCCTGCTCCTCCTCCTCCTCTTCGTCCTCCTCCTCCTCCTCCTCCTCCTCTTCGTCCCCCTCCTCCCCCTCCTCGCCCCCCTCCAACTGGTGGTGCTGGTGGTGGAAAACAAGCTCATTCTCACTATCCCGGGGGCCCGGCGATGCCCCCTGGAGACAGACGCGCCCCAAACACCTTCACGTTGGGTCACGTTCCGGCCGCTCTGCGCGCGGCCGCGCTCGCGCGCAGGCTCGCGCGCAGAGCGGCCAGCTAGGCTGGCGAGACCGGCGCGCCCGCGGTGGCGCCGACCGCTGGGGATTTCCCAGCGCGTCTCGCAATCCGCGCTCACGCGCGGGCACTTCAGTGTCGGGCGGGCCTGGTATCATGGCAACGTCGACAACGGCAAGCACGATGATGATAGTAGCGATGCGGGTGGCGACGTTGACGATGACGACAGCAAGGCCAATGACGACGCCGATGCTGGTCCTGCCGATGACGATGATGGTGTCCACGTGTCGGGCTCCGGAAAGACTTCGATAGGCACGCGCGGCCGTTAGGCTCGAGCGGCGCGCATCGGACCAGTTGACGGGGATCGTGCCCCCTTGCACGCGCGCAAGGGCGTTCGAATTACTTCGACATGTGCGCCCGAGTGACCCCCATGGTTGAGTTTGATGAACACAACGAAGACCAGTGTTTCATCCAGAAGGAGCAAAAGCGGGCGCGCAGACCATTCTAAAAGAGCAATGTTGCCAAACGATGTTGTAATTTCCGGGGCATTCGCTTCTGAAATCCCTTGTGAGACCCCTGTTGTTGAAAGATTCTGGCATGCGCGCGCGACGATGCGCCCGCGTGCGCACTTTGTCCCGTCTGCTGAACATGTTGTCAGGGGATTTTGGAACCTGATGATTACTAGTAAACGAATCGAGCGCATAGTATTGCTTGCAAGAAGCGTTTTTTTGAAATTCGAACCTGGCTTGGCTGGGACGGTATGAGGTCATAGTTACCATGAATGTTTTGGCAACGCCGTATGAAAAATGCACATTCCCAGGGAGTACGGATAATCCTGGCCTCGGGGGGTGGTAGGTCCTCATTCCATTCTAGAGAGGGAACCTATGTGGCGCAGTCTATACGTGGTGCAGCTTATGTGGCGCAAAATATGCGGTGCTATCTACGGGGCAGCGACGGGGCGGCGCTGGCGACAACATAGCCGCCAGACTGGCGGTCAGGTCCAGACGATGTTAGAGTAGCTCATGGGATGTTGTTTTCAAGTCACTGGGAAGATCTCACAGACCCGCGGCCACCGCGCTCAGCTCGTGGGGGTCTTCACGGGCATTCAGGGTCGCGAGGCTCGCGGCTACAAGGAGCCTCGCATTCCTAGCATTTTGCTGAAATACGCTTACCCGCCCACCCATGCCACCTGGCCCTCAGTTGGCTCACTTCTGGCGTGTCTGACCAGCAAAAGGGTGTTTCCCTTCTCGACGTCGTCGTCACCGTCGTCTTTCCTCTCCTCCTTTGCATGGTATTCTTGCTGGCCAAAGGGTCGCAGACAGCCGCGTCTTTTGAAGCATGCCCTCCTGCACCACTTTCACTTAGGTTCCTATTGCAAACATCGTCGAGGCCTGTTCTTCACTTCCGTTCTTTGTTTGGCAGCAGGCCCTGCTGCCCTCATAGTGTAATTCGTCGTCCTCAGATGATGACGACTGTCGTCCGCCTTCCTTGTACACTCATAGTTGTGACAACCTTGAAGTTGCATATAATGGCACGTGGAATGGCCAACGGCTGTACCCCTCATTACGCGTCCTTAGGGACGGTGTGCTTTTGGTCGTTCCAGCGCCGCTCGTCTAGGAGGTGGGGCTGTGAATGCTGGGCAGGTTGCTGTCAATCTTAATTTAAGGTGCTTCTGCCTGGCACAATTCCTCGTGGGGACGAGTCTGAATGGTCCGGCTTCATGGGTGTTCATCCTTTTCATTTCCAGGCCCTAGCCCTCCCTGCCCACACAGGCGGGACAAAGAGACGATGAAGGCGGTGCGGCACGGGAGCCCGGGCAGGCTCCGCACTCATGTGCAGAATTGTTCCGACTTTGGCCCTTACCGCACGCGCCTCCGGCCCATGCTGGACGAGGCGGCGCTGGGGGGCCCGCAATCTGCAGCTGGCACCCGGCTACGGCAACCTCGCGCTTGCTTTCAAGTCGAAAGTACCAAAGAGTGCCCCTCAAGTGCCATTCCCACGGCCCGTAAACGTTCGTCAACGTTTGCGAGTGCCTCCATCGCACCCCCTTGCAGCATGAAAAAAGTCAGCAGGTACAATAATCAGGGCCAGCAACAACTATTGACGCTGCTACTAGCGTTCGCATTACCACAAAAAATGCTCTTGCCCGCACTCTGCCGTAGTCATCGTCCCCCCCGCATCGTCATACTTCTCCTCCTCATACCCCATCCCCCTCCTTCCGCTCCACGATCCTCCGCTTTTCTCCTCTTGCACATCCTTTCCCCTCTTATTCTCCAACCCCCCTCCTCGTCCGACTCCTCCTCGTCCGACTCCGAATCCTCCTCACAGTTCTCCTCCTCCTTCTCTTGTTTTCCTCGCTCCCTCCACCTCCGCCTCATCGTCCTCCTCCTCCTCCTTCTAGTGTTGGGCACGTTGGAAACACTTTGCGAGCACTTGCGAATGTTTTCCCCGCAGCACGTTGAACACTTCTGAACACACTTTCAGTCCTCGAAGGATATTTGGGAGGCTCTCTTTTGGCGCGTCCTGCAAACGCTTGCAAACACTCCGGAGGCACTTCGGAAGCAATTCGGGGCACCCTCGAAGCCATTTGCGAACGTCCGCCGACCTTGGCCACCCACTCCACGACGCTGTCAAAGTGCGGGTGCCTCGTCCCCGCCGCGCAGGCGAGCTCGGCGGCCACCACGGCGGCGTCGCTCGCCTCCCAGTGCCGCGGCAGCGAGTGGAGGGCGGCGAGCGACCGCCACTGGAGGTCGCCTCTAGGGCAGCATCAGGGTAGAACCAGCGCTGGGAGGACGCGTCGGCCTGGAATCGGCGATACGTCGCCAATGGACCGGCGATGGGCCCCCTGTTGGGACTCCGCTCTTTCCTGGGCAGGGTGCCCCCATCGTCGGTGCATGGGCGATTGGGGGTCACGGGGGTCCACGCGGCCCCCCCTGAGCCCACTGCCCCCCACCAACGTTGCCCCTCACTGGAGGCAGAGAATATAGACACCACCCCAGGCCACAGGCATACGGAGCGTGGTGTGTTTCTGCATCCAGAAGCCTCCTAGATGGGGACGGAGTGAGGGGGTCGGAGGATCGCGTCGCATCGCCGATATATCGGCGATGCACCAGCGATGCACCGGCGATGCACCGGCGATGCATCGTCGACGTCGGCGATGCATCGGCGACACCGACGCGAAGCAAATCGGACTGCACATCGAGCCGCTTCGGCGATGCATCGGCGATGCGGCGCGATCCTCCGACCCCATCTACTCCGACCCCATCTGGGAGGCACAGAGTCTTGTGGGTCAGTCAGGCTATTGTTCTCGGGCCCTGGGGCCGTCGACAGAGAGGCTCGAAACGAAAAGCCGGTCCTTGGGGAGTTGCCGCGTTGTCTGGGGTCCGTAATAGGCTTGGCTTTGGGCACGGACAGCCTACCCAGGTAGCCTCTGCTGGCCTCAACGGGCCCCCAAAGTGGCCCCAGCAGGCCTTAACAGGCCCACCGAGTGGTCCCGGGCGGCCTCAACACCCTGGGGCCGCCTCCGGCGGCGTCCCTGGGGCGTTCCGCACCGCAGGTTTGAGGTGCTGAGACTGCCCCAGACTACTCGGGGGGCTCGTCGAGGCCAGCTGGGACTGCTCGGCGGCCTGTCGATGCCAGCTTGGACAATCTGGGGGGGTTGTCTATGCGCATCCCAAAAGTCTTCCCATCCTCGCTGGAGGTGGTCCGCTGGTGCTGATGTCGCCCCTGCTTCCTCCGAATCGCCGTTGGTGGGGTGCTGCCGCATGCAGCCTAGCGCCGCCCCGACCGCCTTCTGCAGGTCCAGCCCCTTTGGTGGATCGAGGCTAGAGGGAATAGAGACCTTCGAGCGCACTGAAGGCCAGAAGGGGGGACAAAAAGTGCCAAGATAGCTATTCCCCAGACCCCTCCTAGGGTTCACCACGATTTCAAGGAGAATAGAGCCGTGGCGACGAGAACTCTCCAGGACGAGCAACGGTATTGGTGCGTACCCTGGATGAGGCAATCATCGCCCCCACATTGGATCCGTTGGGGGGTTGGGCACGTGCTGTCGGAACGGCTGGAGGGAAGGGTGGATGAGGAGGAGGAGGAGGTGGAGGAGGGGGGGATGAGCAAGCTCCGTCGGAAGGTCAGTCGCCCACCCCTCGATTCGTATTCCACCCAGAGCACCCTCTCCCCCTCCGAAAACAAAGTCTGCACGCCATCCCTGGGGCCCAGGGGTGGCCCTGGCCGCCTGGCCTGGGGGCGAAGCTGTGGCGCGCAGCTGTCCTTTGCGGCGCCCTCTGCAGGTCGTGGGCTCCATCGATCCGCTCCCAGGACCGCGACGATGGAGGGTCGAGGATCGACCGAAGATCGAGAATCGAGCGGGCATCGAGGATCGGTCGACCGACCCAGGAGCGCGACAATGACCTGATCGAGGAGATCGGTCGAGGATCGAGAATCGAGCGGGCATCGCGCGAGGAGCGAGGATCCAGAATCGAGCGGGAATCGAGCATCGGAGATCGAAGATCGACCAATCGGGGACCGCGACTACCGAGGATCAAGGACCGGTCATGAATCGCCGACAGGGTGACGGCAGAGGGTCGATCGCTGGAGGCCCGGTCCACGCCTCCGCGGCCAGACACAGAAGGCAGCCGACGCAGCCCAGGGCCACGCCAGGGTCCCCGCCGTGCTGGTCGAGGACCTCGAACACCAGCTCGGGCCCACCGCCGCTGGCCACCTGGAGGGAAGATGGCCCCATACAGCAGGCACACGCGCTAAGACATCTGACTGTATACACTTGCCATTACATATATATAGGTTGTTGCATATGTGTGGATCTAGACGTATATATGATACATATGCATATGTATACATATTGGCATCTACATACGTTCATACAAATGCTTGGACATATGTTCATACACCCATATAGAGCGCACATATATAAAGCATTGGGACACATGCATGCGTCGTGGACCTTTCAGAAACATGAGGTGTCCCTGGGCTTCTGTGGGCATCTGGCACCAAGGAGGGCGGTGAGCATTCCGTGGAGCACCTGCTTGCAGGCCGGTTCCGAATTTGATGCGCCCACTTCGACACTCACTTCTGGTCTGGCGTGCTCGTCACTGTAATACTCAGAATACAGACTGCAGCGTCGGCCAGAAACCGGTCAGAATCGGACCCCAGGCCTCAGACCCCTCCCTGGGTCCAGACCTTCTGGCCAGTTTTCCATCCTGAATCGATTTCCGACGGCCCAAGGCTCGAAGCGGTTCTCCACGCGCCTCAAGCATGGAAAATAGCGAAAAGTCTCGAGCCGCCAGGATACCAGGGCCCAGCATGGGGCAAGGATGACTGAATACTGCCCAGGACCCATATCCATAGAATTCGATCGTAAATCAAATGAGGAGGGTTTTCAATCATAACGGCTTGAGTCGAAGGGAAGGTTCAGTCGGACACCGCAAAAAACAAATCAACTTGTCATCGTCCTTTTTCCCAACCATCCTGTGGTGTTGGGTCCTCGTTTTGAAGAGACGTCGCCGCGCGTTCCTCCTTCCTCCTCCTTCCTCCTCCTCCCCTTCCTCCCCCCTCCTCCCCCTCCCACACCCATTCTGGCACACCCCTCACACGTTTCGTGGCCCCATAGGGAGCTCCACCGAAGGCCCCAGTGGCTGCGCCCGCATGCGGTTCCACCCCCCATTCTGGCACACCCCTCACACGTTTCGTGGCCCCATAGGGAGCTCCACCGAAGGCCCCAGTGGCTGCGCCCGCATGCGGTTCCACCCCCCATTCTGGCACACCCCTCACACGTTTCGTGGCCCCATAGGGAGCTCCACCGAAGGCCCCAGTGGCTGCGCCCGCATGCGGTTCCACCCCCCATTCTGGCACACCCCTCACACGTTTCGTGGCCCCATAGGGAGCTCCACCGAAGGCCCCAGTGGCTGCGCCCGCATGCGGTTCCACCCCCCATTCTGGCACACCCCTCACACGTTTCGTGGCCCCATAGGGAGCTCCACCGAAGGCCCCAGTGGCTGCGCCCGCATGCGGTTCCACCCCCCATTCTGGCACACCCCTCACACGTTTCGTGGCCCCATAGGGAGCTCCACCGAAGGCCCCAGTGGCTGCGCCCGCATGCGGTTCCACCCCCCATTCTGGCACACCCCTCACACGTTTCGTGGCCCCATAGGGAGCTCCACCGAAGGCCCCAGTGGCTGCGCCCGCATGCGGTTCCACCCCGTCTGGCACACCCCTCACACCATAGGGAGCTCCACCGAAGGCCCCACATTCTGGCACACCCCTCCACCGAACACGCATGCGTGGCACACCCATAGGGAGCTCCACCGAAGGCCCCAGTGGCTGCGCCCGCATGCGGTTCCACCCCCCATTCTGGCACACCCCTCACACGTTTCGTGGCCCCATAGGGAGCTCCACCGAAGGCCCCAGTGGCTGCGCCCGCATGCGGTTCCACCCCCCATTCTGGCACACCCCTCACACGTTTCGTGGCCCCATAGGGAGCTCCACCGAAGGCCCCAGTGGCTGCGCCCGCATGCGGTTCCACCCCCCATTCTGGCACACCCCTCACACGTTTCGTGGCCCCATAGGGAGCTCCACCGAAGGCCCCAGTGGCTGCGCCCGCATGCGGTTCCACCCCCCATTCTGGCACACCCCTCACACGTTTCGTGGCCCCATAGGGAGCTCCACCGAAGGCCCCAGTGGCTGCGCCCGCATGCGGTTCCACCCCCCATTCTGGCACACCCCTCACACGTTTCGTGGCCCCATAGGGAGCTCCACCGAACGCCCCAGTGGCTGCGCTCGCATGCGGTTCCACCCCCCATTCGGCACACCCCTCACACGTTTCGTGGCCCCATAGGGAGCTCCACCGAAGGCCCCAGTGGCTGCGCCCGCATGTGGTTCCCCCCCCCCTCACACGGTTCGTGGCCCCATAGAGAGCTCCACCGAAGGCCCCAGTGGCTGCGCTCGTATGCGGTTCCACCCCCTTTTTCGGCACGCCCTTCACACGTCTCGTGGCCCCATAGGGAGCTCCACCGACCGCCGCAGTGGCTGCGCTCGCATGCGGTTCCACCCCCCATTTCGGCACACCCCTCACACGTGTCGTGGCTCCATAGGGAGCTCCACCGAAGGCCCCAGTGGCTGCGCTCCACCAAAGGTCCCAGTGGCACTGCCCGCTTGCGTCCGCCACCACCCAGCACAGCCCTTGTTCCCTGCGCTTCACCCACCCAGAACAGCGCTTCGTAGCCCTATAGGGAGCTCCACCAAAGGTCCCAGCGGCACCGCCCGCATGCGTCCGCCACCACCCTGCACAGCCCTTGCTCCCTGCCTGCGTTTCACCCACCCAGTACAGCGTTTCGTGGCCCCATAGGGAGCTCCACCGAAGGTCCCAGTGGCACCGCCCGCATGCGTCCGCCACCACCCAGCACAATTGCGGCATTCACAACTGCATATGGTTGGGTCCTTCGCCAGGCTAATTTTCTTCACCTCGCCTTTCGCTCCTGTTCCGGCGGAGATGATGAAGAAGGTGCCGGGGGGAAGGATGAGGACGGGAAAAGGATTGATACCTATCGTACGAGGCGGGCGAGGGGAGGGACGAAGAGAATGAGGATGATGAGGAGAAGAGACTGCACGATCTGACGGACAACTTGGGGGATAGGCGCTGAAAGGAGGGGGTGGATGATCATGATGAACTCGACGTGGATTATGAAGCGGATGAGGAAGAGAACGAGGTGGAGGAGAGGGAGGGAGGGAGAAAAGGAGAGTAGGGATGAGGGGGAAAAGCAATGCAATGAGAGGCGGGAGAGATAATTGCGGAGGAGGAGGTCTTCGCAGAAATGCGGGCGAGGAGGACTGCGAGCACACGGAGGACAACGGCAGGTGAAATAAAAGGACACAGATGTGAGCATGTATTAATGATGAAGAGGGGGATGCACAGGAGAAAGAGGATGATGAGGAGGACGACGAAGATGATGACGAGTCCTGAGAAGGCGGATGAAACGGAAGGAAATGATAGGGAGGACGAAATCAAATGAAGGGGGAGGCGGCGGGCGGATAAAGAGTACAAGAAGGGGGGGAGAATATATGCGGAGGATGGTGATGGGAACGATGATGATGATGATGCTGATGATGATTCTGATGATGGTAATGATGATGATGATGATGATGATGGCGATACTCATGATGATGATAATGATGGTGATGATGACGGTGGTGATAATGATGACGGTGGTGATGGTGGTGGTGGTGGTCATGGCGATGATGATGGCGGCGGCGATGGCGAGTATGCTAATGGTGATGCTGAAGGTGATGGCGACGATGACGATGCTGACGATGGTGACGGAGATGGCGGTTGTGATGATGACGGCGATGAGTATGATGATGCGAGTAGTGGTGATGATACGCGTGAAACTGACGATTATGACGATGGTGATCCTGATGACGGTGGTGGTGATAAAGATGATGCGATGGTGTGTGTGGTGGTGATCGTTATGGTGCTGGTGATTATACTGAACAAGGGAAGAGGACACCGTGAAACGGAAACATGATGAATACAACGATGAGCGTTGGTCGGAAGCGGAATACTCATGAAAAGTGGGAACTGGAGAACGATAAGAGGAACCGTGAGAGCGAGGAGAAGGGCGCAGCGGCGGGCGACAAACAAGTGAACATTGCGGCGATCCGTGGCAGGGGATTCCTGGCGCGCATGGGAAACGCGTCGCAGGCAATTAGGAACAGAGCGACGAGTAGGCGAGGGGGTGTACCAATGAGAGAGGAAAGAGGGCGGCGGGTGATACATCACTGGCACTTCGCATATAGCCTGGCGAATTGACTTGACGCAGGAGGGGTAGCAGTAGCAATCTGCAGTTGAAGAAGGATGGGGGGTTCTTATGTAGCGTAGCGGTTATCAACAGACAGCAAAAGAGGATGATGAGGACGGGGGATGGAGATGGATTTTCCAGAGCGCGTGGTAAGGGCGGAACTGATTATACACGGCGGCGCTGCTGATGATGGTGATGATGGTAGGGGCGGCGGGGAGTATGAAGTGAAGCCGCATGTGCAATGGCGAACAGGGTGGTGGGCATCATGGAACGCAGTCCCTCCCATCTCTGTGTGCGCCCGACGAGATGACGGGGGCGGTGGAGAGGATGATGCATGGATTGACGGCGAAGCGGGTGCGAGGAGGTTCATGCAAATCACGAGGCCTGCCTTTCATGACGATGGCTGGGGGAGATGCTGACCAGGCAGACCATGAGGGGCCGAAGGCAAAAACGGATGCGCGGGCGATTGTAAGCAAGATGGCGCGGGTGATGATGACAATGGCGATGAAAAAAGACAAGATGACGACCAAAACACATGCTCATAACGAAAACGATAATGATGACCGGGGTAACTAATGATGAGTATGATTCTGAGGCGGGTGACGAAGAGGGATGCGACGCGGAGGATGGGTGAAACTGAGGGGGGGGCGATCAGGACTATGAAATGTAGATGGAGAGGACGACGAGGACAAGGAGGACACTAAGGATGATTGCGGGGATGGTGCTGCGAATGATGAGTAAACGAATGAGGGGGTGGATGCGACAGGAGGGGAAGACTAGGGGGCGAGGATGAGGCGTGACGAAAGACTAGGCAGAGACCAGGAGACGGTGGATGAAGTTGACGAAGAGGATGATGATGATTATGATGGTGGTGATGATGGCGATGAGGATCAGGATGAAGAGTCCCCCC